TTTTTGTGGTGTTGTTTCCCCAAATGAACGTTTTCCAGACCTTTCTTTCCTCAAGGAATCGTGGGTTTGGGGTTTTTTTCCCCACAGCCAAGGCGCCGTGCGGGGGCACCCGCGGCCTCCCCCTGTCCCCTCAGCCCGGCCACCCCAGCTTCACCGCTTCATCTCGCTGCCTGTGCAGCACCTTCACCCTCCCTCCGTGGACCGAGATCGGTCCCCAAATCACAGCGTTTTAGCTGCTTTTATTGTGCCTTATGCTCCCAGGAGCTCGGGTGCATGAGGGCTTTCAGGCCTCTCTGCAGCTGTCTGAGGAAACGTGTTTTTCTGACAAGACTTGCCCAACGCTACCACAATAGGCATAAAAAAAGTGTCTGGTTTAGCGGTGTGGAGTCATGCCTTGACCTGCAAGAAACGACCTTGTAGACCTGCCTGACCGGGGCCATAGAAGTCACATATCGAACCACTAAAAAAAAGCTGAAAAAACCCCTGGAGCAGAGCTGGAAAGCCTGGGCACTGGCTCTGGCAGAGGGCTGATTAAGCAAGAGAACAGATTAAGTCATTACAAATTGTGCTAGCTAGGAATTTCACTTTTTTTTTTTTTTTTTTTTTAAATATTTGGCTTATTGCTGTGGTATCTAAAATGTGCTCCCTAACCTAGATAATTGCTGCAAAACAATTGCAAAACAGCAATTTCAGACACGGGCAGCTGCTAATACCTGAGTGCTGGCATTGCAGTGCATAACACGCTGTGGCGGCCATGTCAGGAGAGCTGGGGGGATATGCTTGCTCTTGGAAAAGGTGGGATCAAATTGGCCCCGCGGTGTCATTCACAGTTAAAAAGGGGTGATGTGGTAGAGGTCCACATCGCTTTCCTATGAGAAGAACAGCTACACAAGTTGATCTAAAAACCACCACGTTTTTCGGAGGGGTATATATGTTCACTTACTGCAAGGGATGGATGAGCTCACGTCCTGAAGCAGGATGGTTTAGATGCTTTTGAATTTTAAACAATATAAATGCAGGTGTGGTTTTTATCCATATATTGGTCTTTTCTTCACGGTTCTTGCTAACCAATGTCTCTTAGTCACTACAACAGATGATATATCGCTTTTGCGTTCTGTTGGCTGTTTGGTGGTTTGATTCATCGTCAGGGCAGATCCTTGATCACTCTCTGTACAATTCAAGAGGAAATACATAAATGTCAGAAACGAAATACTTCCTTCTCCACTTTTTTCAGCCATTGGCATAACCGAGGACAGAAGATTTATTTAGGATTAACTCTTAACTCTAGTCCTCCATAACTGCCAGCAACCATTCCTTGGTTGGGACTTTTAGATGAAGCCAGAAGATGCAAATAAAGACCCCGACTGTACAGCCAGGCGTGCACAAGAGTGTCACAGGGCCCGTCACATCGGGCTTTGGCCAGGAAACAACCAGGCTTTGCAAGCAGCCTTGATGAAGAGCAGCTGCAACAAAGATGCATTATATTCATTTCTCTAAAAAAATGCAGGAGTCATCTCAGTGGATCAGAAATAAAACCTTAATAACTCTGAGAAAAAACATCGTTGTAAGAGAAAAAATGGCATCGGGGCAGGGCGGAAGGGGACAAAGAGTAATAGCAGAAAGCACTTCAGAACATGTTCACTTCCACCAGAGTGAAAAAGTGCTAGAAATAGATTCAAATCAGTTTTCAGCTGCTGTATTTTCTGCTGAAGTATGTCACTACGGCCACTTTGACAATGACGGTGTAATGCATAGTGGCAGTAAATACGTTTGGATTTGGGAGCTGACAGAGGTGTGGACTGTGCCGCCATCAGCTCCTGCTCCTTCTCCTGCTGTGTGAGGTGGGCTCCGAAGCACCACCCGCTCTGCCGCGAGGGGAGGCAGCGGATCGGCGGTCTGGGGTTCAGGCACGAGAGGTACGCATGGCAGCGTGCGCATAGCTCACACCGCTGGGCAACACTGGAAGGGTAGATGGACAGAGAGGCAGCATCTCTTCAAACAGTGTATGAGAATAGTTCCTATGGTCTCTGAGATACGTGCTTATGTCCGTAGTGATTCTCTGAGACATTTAGATGCTTAAACACACAGGTTAGGCATGAAAAGGGGTTTTTAAGCGCAACTGGGCACTTCTTCACTGAATCAGTGGGAGTTAGGCACCAGAACACTTCTGAAAGCCTCACACCATTTATCAATATCTTTATTTAAGCAAGCCTGAGAACACCGTTCCCTTGGCGTATGCACCAGCTGCTAAAAGAAAATTACTTATTTGGGTCTGGTTTTAGATTTGTGTGCATCTGTTATTTTCTAAGCTGTTTTCTTACAATTGCCTTGTTACAATTATTATTATTTTAACTGTGAGCTTGTGTCTAGCCATTTCTATAAACTTTACTTTTCTGTAGGAGAACTAGGACCCTGGATGCCTTTCAGTTTTTATCGGTGAATGGGAGCAAGCCACTGCTAAATCAGAGATCTCAGCTCCGAGCATAATTAGGTCCACACAGTAAAAATGTTTTCAGGTTCAATCAGCAATTTTGCCTTCTAGGAAATAGTCTGAATCATGGACTCCGCTGCTTCCCATGTTCCAGCTGTCCTACTTTGATGGGTGGGGTAAGGTAAGTCATCACTTTAAAAGTGTGCTCTGTTTAAGTAAATGGCGCTCTCTTATTACCAGTCTTTGTAATCATTTCTGTGGCACAGCTCTAGTGGTTTTATTAAGCTGTGTTATGCTTTAATGTTTATTCTGATTGATGAATGAATTACAGAATAGTGACACTGCTGTTGTACTAGACAAGAAATGCTTAGACAGTCCCGCTGTAGTTCATAGGAGAAGCGTTTTCTCAACAGAGTGCTTTTGTAACTAGGGTTTTGTTGCTAAAAATACAGGCTGTTTTCCACAGTAATTTAAAAAAGTGAAGTTTCTCCTGTGGTTAGACATAAATTGTGTGCCTAGAACAGTGTATATAGTGACATTAGTCATCTGTGTAGGTGGGACCTGCCAAATTTGCATGGAGGACAAAGGCAAAACCACATGGATATTTATCATCTTCATGTCCACTCCCACTGTCCTACATGGAAGATGATGTCTTCTGTTACTGGCCATGAAAGATACTTAGTGTCAGCACAAAGAAATCGAAGTACATTCTAGAAATGCTTAAGGACAAAGTAACAGAGATCGGGCTCTACTGTAGAAACCCCCACACCCCACCTATGCTAACAGAGGACCAGTTACCAGGGGAATTATGCATATGCCCCCTTGTCATGAACAGCATGTGAAACCATGACCTGCCCATCATCTTTCAAACTGCGACAGGAGCCACAACGTTATTAATCTCAGTGATAAGATAGTGTTAGGTTTTGAAAGCTAATAGGAGACTTGAGCAGTCAAATTTGCTATGTATTTCATTGTTGAGATGTAAAATACAAAGGTGGGACAAGGCATGTCAGTGGGTGAGTAATGATATATTTTAAAGAAAGTTTAGAGGATCTTCCAATTATCAGTTAACTCTGTCAATAAATAAGATAGCGTCTCAGTGGATTGAAGTCCCAGAAATAAATAGGAAAAATGCAATCCTAGGACTGCATCACCAGTCTAGCTAACAAGGAGGGAAGATCAGGGAGTCTGCAGGGCAGGAAACACAATCACAGGTGTCTTCAATAATTCAAATGTGGGTTGGGTAAAGGTGACAGGAGGGGGTGATCTGTATCTAACTGTTGTCCTGGTTTCGGCTGGGATAGAGTTAATGTTCTTCCTAGTAGCTGCCATAGTGCTGGGTTTTGGGTTTAGCGTGAGAATAATGTTGATGACACACGGTTGGTTAGTTGTTTCTAAGCAGTGCTTACCCAGAGTCAAGGGCTTTGCAGTTTCCCATGCTCTGCCAGGGGCACAAGAAGCTGGGAGGGGGCACAGCCGGGTCAGCTGACCCCAACTGGCCCAAGGGCTATTCCAGACCATAGGACGTCACGCTCAGCAAACAGAGCTGGTGGAAGAAGAAGGAAAGGGAGATGTTCAGAATGATGGCGTTTGTCTTCCCAAGTCACCGTTACACATGATGGAGCCCTGCTTTCCTGGAGATGGTGAGCACCTGCCTGCTGGTGGGAAGGAGTGAACGAATTCCATGTTTTACTTTGCTTGCACGTGCAGCCCTTGCTTTTGCCGTTAAACTGTCTTTATCTCAAGTGAGGAGTTTTCTCACTTTTACTCTTCTGATTCTCTCCCCCATCCCATCGGGGGGGAAGTGAGCAAGCAGCTGGGTGGTGCTGAGTTACCAGATGGGGTTAAACCACAATGCTATTTAGAAACCATGACCACTAGTTGCTAAGCCAGAAGAGTAAAAGATATCTCTG